CTGTACCTGGTTTTATGGTGAAACAGGTATAAAGTTCACCATAGTGTCTCTGTCTGTACCTGGTGATATGGTGATACAGGTATAAAGTTTACCTTAGTGTCTCTGTCTGTACCTGGTGATACAGGTATAAAGTTTACCCTAGTGTCTCTGTCTGTACCTGGTGATCAAAGAGGCTAAGAAATGCATGAAAAGCAAAATAGAGGAAAGCTTTAACACTAAGAACTCTAGGGAATTGTGGTCAAATATATCCTTAATTACTAACTACAAGGGCTCAAAACACTCTGCAGACAAAGGAGATGCGTCACTACCGGACAAACTGAATGACTTTTATGCACGCTTTCATAAAGACAATAGTTCTTCTACAACGGTTTTACCTCCGACTTCCCAAGCCGACAATACTGAAGTAGTTCCGCTCACCATTCACCCCTGGCAAGTAAAACGGCAATTTCTGCATCTCAATGTTCGTAAGGCGTCTGGGCCGGATGGAATTTCACCTCGTGTTCTCAAACTATGTGCTGACCAACTTGCGTACGTCTTTACTGTCATTTACAATTGGTCTCTACAAATCCGCAAAGTACCATTGCTCTGGAAGACGGCGTCTATCATCCCGGTACCTAAATCCAACCGAGTTACCAGCTTAAACGATCTTAGACCCGTGGCTCTGACTCCGGTGCCCATGAAAATTTTAGAAAAATTAGTTTTAAATTTTATTAAAGAAATTGTGCCGAAAACCTTGGAACCACTGCAGTTCGCTTATCGATCTAACAGAAATGTTGAAGATGCAATTAATCTGTGCCTACACACTGTCCTACAACACTTAGATAACAAAAATTCTTATGCAAGGATTTTATTTATTGACTACAGTTCAGCTTTTAACACAATTGTGCCAAAAAAAACTATATCTGAAACTTTTAAACCATCTTAAGCTACCTGTTTTTATTTGTGACTGGATTTTAGACTTTCTTTTAGATAGAAGACAATCTGTTAAAGTCGGCTCTTTTAGCTCAAAAACAACAGTCTTAAATACCGGTGCACCACAGGGATGCGTCCTTTCATCTTGTCTTTACTCCCTTTTTACCTATGATTGTACTAGTGTAAGCGACGGGACTTTTCTCATGAAATTTGCGGATGATACTACGCTTGTGGGGCTAGTTACTGATAACGACGAGAGTACATATAGAGAATCTGTTGAGTCGGTGTTAAGCTGGTGCGAGAGTAATGATCTTATCTTGAACGTAGCTAAAACCAAAGAAATGATAGTGGATTTTAGAAGGAATCAGAATGTAAAGGTACCACTCACCATTGGTAATGTTGAAGTTAGTAGAGTAGAGGAATTTAAACTACTTGGTATACACCTTAACAGTAAATTGAACTGGAAAGATAACACCGCAAAGAGTGTAAAGAAGGCACGGCAAAGACTGTATTTTATANAAGCTACCTGTTTTTATTTGTGACTGGATTTTAGACTTTCTTTTTGATAGAAGACAATCTCTTAAAGTCGGCTCTTTTAGCTAAAAAATAACAGTCTTAAATACCGGTGCACCACAGGGATGCGTCTTTTCACCTCGTCTTTACTCCTTTCTTACCTATGATTGCACTAGTGTAAGCGACGGGACTTTTCTCATGAAATTTGCGGATGATACTACGCTGGTGGGGTTAGTCACTGATAATGACGAGAGTACATATAGAAAATCTGTTGAGTCGGTGTTAAGCTGGTGCTAGAGTAATGATCTTATCTTGAACGTAGCTAAAACCAAAGAAAGATAGTGGATTTTAGAAGGAATCAGAATGTAAAGGTACCACTCACCATAGGTAATGTTGAAGTTGGTGGGTAGAGGAATTTAAACTACTTGGTATACACCTTTAACAGTAAATTGAATTGGAAAGATAACACCGCAAAGAGTGTAAAGAAGGCACGGCAAAGACTGTATTTGTTAAGATCATTGAGAACTTTTACTGATAGCATGCCTATTTTAGTCAATTTTTACAGGTGTGTAATTGAAAACATTCTAGTGTACGGAATTATAATATGGTATAGCGGAGCAGCTGGGGAGGAAAGGAAGAAATTAACAAACGTTGTAAAAACTGCAAGCAGGATTATCGGGCAGGATCTCCCCAAGCTGGATGATATTTTTAAAGACAGGATGGAGAAAAGAATTGTCAACACCACGAAAGACTCTTTCCATCCTGCATCATCTTTTTTTTACGTTTTTACCGAGCAACAGTAGACTTTTAACTTTTAAAGGCAGTATACGCTTTTTAAAAAAGCCTTTATCCAAGTGCAGTGACGCATTTTAATTTGATCTCAAAACTAAATTCTTAATTTATTTATTTATTATATTATTTTATTACTTAACTCTGTATATTGCTCCAAAAGGAAAATGATTTCCGATTTTTATAATTGGCTAAATAAACTCTTATCTTGTTATCTTATCTTACATTTGTGTAAAAGTTATCAAATCGACTTGAGATCGTGTTAAATTGCCTATCTTGGCACACCTTCTCAATGTTTTTATTTCGTCACCGTGTCTCAAGTGATTTATTTTGCACCCTTTATTTACTAGGATACTTTTCAATAGAAACATGTAACTATAAGTTTAAAAAAATCGTGCATTTAAAATTAATGGTGGAATATCGGAAAGACAAAACATGGCCATAATTATACATGGTGTAAGCACTACACTTAGCTTGAAACTTAAAAGTACATATGAACTCAGTAACGGTTGAGTGTGGATTCCCAGTAACGTATATAAACCACTTCTATTAGTTTCTTACACGTCTCAAATTAAGGGATAAATCAACTATTTATTTTACATATTTCAATACGAAATAAATCTTTGGAGCCGTTCCCATAAACTTATTGCACTAGCTGGATCAATCTAACTCCTCGGGGAATCTCTATAAATTGCGTTCAGTTTCAGGCAAGTCGGGAAAACTTTGGTCCATGGTGTTGTTCAGGGGGCGTTTCAGTTAATTAAGCTGATTGCACTGACTGGGGCTTAGCGAGAATCCCGGCTGAGATATGTCGACCCTGCTAGTACGATAAGGTTATCGGAACATAGTCTTTAATGAGGTCTATTAATACACCGCCAGGGAACAAGGTGGACTTTGCTGGCGTTCTATAGTTATTGACACCATCGCAACAGTATGTAAGTTTTTGAAATTCTTTGTGGCATAGCTTATAACCATAACTTTACGTCGTCTTCGAAAAAAGAAAAAAAAGAAAAAAGAAAAAAAAAAGACCTCTTATTGCTACAGGTCTTAGATCGTTTGCTTAACAGGTACCTGTTCATTAATTGGTTCACTTTATTTTGAGGTTGCGCACTGCATAAAAGTGCACTACGAGTACATATGTGCCCCGGGAACATGTATTCGTATAGGTACAATTTTTTTTTTTTTTTTTTTTTTTTTTTTTTTTTTTTTTGGGGGGGGGGGAGGGGGCTCACTCAAAAATATCGCCTTCAGATTTCTAGCTTTCTAGCATTATTACTTTCTCCTGAGTTACTGTCAAAGTGACGCTGAATATAGTTTGTAATCATGTTCTGTTTTATCCCACATCCAAATTTCCCCAGTACATGTCATACGACAGTATTCTCTTCTACCAGCACAAAAATACGACCCTACACATTTAACAGGTGACGCATCCCTTTTTGAGGTTCTGAGCAAATACAATACACCGCTCCTATTGATAAGGTCTGTTATGACGCACTGCACTAAGCAACAGCGCACCAATGGCTTTGTTACGAGTACCCCCCTGAATACCAAATACATTATATAGTGCCCCTATTCTTTAAAAATCTTTGCCATTACTTTATTTACATACTGAAAGGTGAAATCAATGCGAGGCAGTTTTTACATCAATAACCCGAGAAGGTCGGCGTCTAAACAGCTTTTTGAACTGCCTGGGAGGTAAAGTCACAAGATGGCCGAGAAAGAATTATACAGCGTCTTCAGTGAGAACTTTTTAACGTGTCATATATGCCTGGAGGAATATAAAGACCCGAGAGTGCTCCCCTGTTACCACACGTTCTGTCTGGAATGTATTGCTGACCATGCAGCCAAGAATGGTGTCCAGAACAAGTTCTCCTGTCCCGTGTGTCGCCACGAGGCCCCCGTTCCACCAGGTGGGTTAGAAACCCTTGTGAAAAATTTCTTCTTAACAAAAGTAACAGACTTCATAAAAGGCCCGAAAACGCCCGAGGGGAGACTTTGTGAGTATTGTAACCATAAAGAGGCCACTTTCATGTGCAAAGTTTGCCCAGAAACCAACCAACTGTGCGCTTCATGTCGTGATGTGCACGACAAAATACCGTTTTGCAAGGGCCATTCGTTTGTATCGCTGTCACAAGTCGATGTCTGCGTTAACCCAGCTAACATGCGAGATCAGTTACGTCACGTATTAGATACAGCTCAATACTGCGACAAACACGACGGAGAACCGCTGGCATTCTATTGTGAAAACGATGACACTGTTATGTGCAGGGAATGTATTGTAAAAGTCCACAGCAAACACGATTTCAAAGAGTTAGGGGATGTGGTGAAAGTTCAACGAGATCTAATACAAGAGAAGCTAAAATGTCTTCCTACTGAGAAACTGTCTCGTTTTGAGAAGGCGGAGAATGCCATTGTACGAACGGAAGAGAGACTGACAGAAAATCAGAGAAAGGTTCTTTGTTTGGTGGATTGTCAGAAATTGGCTATGACAAAGGAGATAAAGGAAAACAGCAATACTATAGAAAGAGAACTCGACGATTATTATCAACAAGTAGAGAAAGACGTACGTCAACAGACCGACGCGTATTTAACAAGTGTAAAACTACATTTGAAAACGTATCAAACAAAAGTACAGTCAGATTACATCGAAATGCAGAAAGTTATAGATGACAAAAGCAACGAAATAACGGCAGAAGTTATGGCATTCGCCTCCACGCAGGTGAAGACTTTGGAATCTGAAAAGGACAAGCAAGAAATGAACAAAATTGCCATTCAAAGCATTCGTGATTTCGCCCAGCAGCTAACAGACAAAGGTTCTGACATTGAGGTCATGACACACTCTAAAAAACTCAAAACTAGAATCCAAGAGTTACAGACAGTAGAACCAGTTTTTGATACCAAGATCACCGACATAACATTTACACCAGGGCAAACAGAAATGGACGTTGTGCTGCAGCTTCCTAAAATCCCTAAACCACAGCTGTCCATCAAAACATTGTCCATTACTGCCAAAACATACCGGGGTCCTTTGGATACGTATTTTGGAAGTTTAAAACAAAAAAGAGCAAACTATCCTGCGCTGAAGGAATTTCTGAGAGTAACCTGGCTTGATAAGCCGGAGCGGAATGTTTGTTTTGGCGTGATATGTTTGCTGCGGGATATCCAGTGCACAGATGACGGTTGTATGTTAGTTCTACATGGTGACTTATCCTTTGCTAAAACAGTGTCTGTATTCT